TTATCACACAGTTCTGCTTCATTTTCTGCAATCTTTCATAGAGACTGTACATACTGTGAAGAAAATAATTTGTATTTCTGTGACGTGTATGCTTAAGCTAATTGGGGGGAAAACAAAAGCTGTTCCAGCAGATTACTTTTATAACTTAGTATTGTTTGGCACATGTACTGTATACAAGCCATTGTCCAGGTAGGAACAGTTTGGTTTTCAGGGATCAGAAAGATTTTAATCTCCCAGCTGGTCTCTTTGGATCTCCCTTTTTCAAATTCACATGTTGTGTTATTCATGCTGCCTTCTGTCAGTAGTTTCCCACATTTGCTCTCCTCTGCTCCTAACACGTGTTCTCTCTGTTCTGATGATGTACTGATAAATGACTATGAAAGCACAATGTGGTAGTTGGTAGATAAACAAATTAAAAGGATTTGAAGCTGAAATTGTGGTGGTGCAGGGCTTAGTCTTGCTTGCTTCCCCTGTGGCCCTGAATTAAACACCTGGGGTGCTGTCTGTGTGGAGTTTGCATGTTCTTCCTGTATTCACATGGATTTCCTCTAGGTGCACCAGTTTCCTCCCACGGTCCAAAGATATGCTGGTAGCTTAATTGGCTTCTAGGAAAATTGGCCCTAGGTGTCTGTGAGAGTGTGTCTGTGTTAGTGTGTCTATGTTAGTGTCTATGTGTGCCTTGTGATGGACTGATGTCTTCTCCAGTGTACCAAGCCTGTGCCTGTTGCTTCCTTGCTTGGGTGGGTTTTGGCTACTTCTGTGACATTATACTGGATTACTGGACATTATACCACACATCCTATAAATCCACTGTGTGAGATTTCACTTTCACTGGATTACTAATTTTCAGTGGGTTACTGGGATTCACTTTTTTGGCTTATTAATACCATGCCTTAAATTGGCATGAATCTCTGCATCACTTAAGCATAGTGTCATGCTAGTTCATAGGGTTTTAATAAGTTACATTAATGAAGTTGTAGCCAAAAGCATAAATGCCCAAATATGAAGTTATTTAACTAATGACTGACTAAAAGGATTATAGTAATCCATTACTATTTTGCTTCCCTTAATATAATTTTGCTGATACTTTAATATTATATTCTTTAACTAGCTCCCTCATAACAGCTGCATACACAGTATTAGACCCGTTTCTTTATAACAATCCTTAAAATGAAGGGTCTTCTATTCAATTTCATAATAAAAGACAACCTTATAATGTACCGTTGTCTAATAAATTACTGTTAAAACACTTTGCCAACATACTAACTTTACAACATTTTTATTCTAATAAGAAAATAACTAAATGGAGTGTCCCATAAATATTTCAAGGCAATGATTCAAGACTCTAACAGGCAGTTTAAATGTTTGGTTTGGTAACATTATTAATTTGTCTGCATTTTAAATGGGTTCTAAGTATAGCATACAGAAAATATATTATGAATTAGTAGTCTTGCCTTCCTCTGCAGTCATTAATCCACTTCACCTCTCCACAGAATGGCTTTCTATATAATTCTTACCAATGTCAGTTATTAACTCTCCAGAATAAGATCAGTCATTCTCAGTGCAATAACTCACTAGCTCCCACTGCTGAGGTGCATTCTGTCTGACTTCCCTGTTTGGTTCAGACAAAAAAAGCATTTGATCTTTGAAAGTTTGATCACTTGGTTGTTTTATTGAAAGCGTTTGAACATATTGCCTCACTTGTTGGTTTGGCAGTGTCAGTACTGTTAATTGTAGTAGGTGGGGAGAATTCTTGAAAATATGTAGCAAAATAAGTGGGGAAGGTCAAATCAAAACTATTCTCAACAAATAGAGAGTTGTAAAGAAGGCAAAGAGCATTATGGAATGTGTGTCTCAGCCCCTCCATTGTGAATTTGCCCTTCTCCCATCTGGGACACACCACTGTGTCCCCAGGTGTAAAAGTAGGAGACCCAGGCAATCTCTCCTCCCCGCTGCAATATCCCTCTCCAACAATGTCAAGTATCTCTGTTATCTCCTGTAACATTAGATAGATAGATAATACTTTATTAATCCCGTAGGGAAATTATTGCACCGTATTCTCTGTGGGTAATGTTTGTCTTCCTTGTTGTCTCTATTCTCCACTCTCAGGTGCCGAACACCTGAAGAAGGCTCCACACCTGAAATATTGAGTTTCTTTTCCTTTCCTTTCAGCATGGAATAAGCCTTTACCTGTTCCTTTGCAGCCTATGCAGGCCGAGGTAGCTACCTACAGTACTTGATTTTCCTTGTTGTCTTCCTTGTTGTATTGAGGTGTGCCGTAAGACACATTTCATCCAGAGGGAAGCTGGAACACAGCTGATCAGAGATAGTGCCAATCCTTGGCTGAGCTCCTTTTGCCAGCCATGTCCTAGATTCTTCAGATAGTGGGGAACCACTCAGTGGGAGACACGAGGGTGAGGTGAGCTGTGCCTGGCCAGGTTTCCTAACCTTTCCTACCCTGTGCCTGCACTTGCTCACTCTCCTGCAGAGCCTCACGGAACTTGATGCACATTAGTGAGGACTGGGACTGGCAGGAGCGATCACGCACACCCACTCTCTGCCTGTACGGTCCAGGGATTGGTGCTGACAGCTAAGCTGACAATTGGACTGTAAAATATAGAACTACTGGTATTTTTTTAAAAAAAAACAAGACCAGATCTAAAACTGGTGTGACTCTAAAAGTGTGAAGAGTGCAGTAAGTATGTGCGTGAAAGGTTGAGTACACAGCACAAGAGACAAAGAAAAAGATCCTTTCGTTTCACAAATGAGACAGATCCGCCTTGATGAGAGATTGGTTTAAATGAGATCAATGCTGATGCTTCAGAACCGGAGGGAAGGGCAGCCCAGGTTACGCCAGCCCATCGAAATCCGCAATGCTTGTGACAGGCTTATTTCTCTCTGTGTCACACAGCTGCAAAAGCTCAAATCCACCAAGGAGACTCCATGGCCTCCAGACATTTTCTATCCTGACTCTTAGCTGTTAAAACAGGAGCCACTGACATTTCAACACAGGTGCCCTCAGGGCAAGTGTCACCCGCGAACTGTTTGGAGATCCAGTAACAGGCACCATCCAGTACATTGCTTTGGCAATGTTTGTACATTTATGGTCAGGACAGAACTGATTTTTGATTCATCCATCAAAAATATAATGAGTTTTGTTTTTCTTACTTGTATCTTGCTGGAACATAAGATTCCATAATAACATTTTCAGTGGCTTAATTAGTTGTTCAGCACTGCTCTTGGTCAGGTTGTGGATAACTACAAAAGTATGAGCTTATTAATTTGGCTCCAGGGCACCTGGAGTTCTTGTAAAGTGTAAAAATGTAAAACGATACACATAAAAATAAGGAATGTTTCAATTTGTGTTGATTCCAGCTCTGCTAAAACTTGAGTCTACAGTTTGTTAAATTATCAGGCTGCAGTACAGAGAAAGGTATACTGTATTAGTGCAGGAAGGGATCTGCAGTGCAGAGGGTTTCTTAGTTTCATTTCAGCTAGGCTCCATATGTCTTAACTCAGCAGTTACCTGCTTCATAACTGATCCCTTTACAAAAAGTAAACTGAAGTAGAGAACGCAGTGTCAATAATAGTCAAACAAACAGATTGAACACTCTAAAATAACCAAAAAAGGGAATAATAATTCCTTTGAAAGTTCAGGAAGAGGAATAAAACAACAACAAATATGTGAGACAAAATGTAAAACAATCAGACACTGGACCTTGTTAAAGGAGTTTTAAATTTAGATTCAGTCAAAAAGTCAATTGAGTGTACTGTATACAGATTTGTGGGCACAGGTGAAAAGGGGTATTAAATGTAAATTTAGAAAAGAATAGTAAAGAATGCCAAAAGAGAAAATATGAAAAATATGGTAATGGAAGGTAAAAAAAATTTTTCACTTTTCAATTTTTTTGTACTTTTCTGATGTATTTGGTGCAGTAAAGCAAAGGTCTAGATTAATATTGCGCTCATGTGAATACTAAGAAAAATCAGCAAAGTGCTTCTGGCTGAGGAATTTAGAAGAGGCAGAAATGCTACAGGTACAACAATAACTTGAGAGCAATGCAACTCGCGAACCTTAGATCTACAAGTGTACCTAAGGAAATGGGATAGTATTCACAGGCTGTTAACACAACACTTCCAACAGTGGTTCAAGACAGGGGTCACATCTTGTGACAAGCCACCAGTAGTGAGGACAGTGGTTTCAGCTGACCAGCGACTAGAAGTCACTGCGGTCTCTGTTGTTTGTAAATAGGTTCACTTGTGGTGCATTGAAGGGAGGCACTGGCACAGTGGTTATGAGTACACCTCTCAGCACTGGGGCTCTAGGTTCACTTCTGAATCTGGGAGTTCACTTCTGAATCTATCTCTGTGGAGTTTGTATAGTCTCCCCTGTGTAGTATATTGAGTGGTTTTCCTCAAGGTCCTCTGGTTTCCTCCCATGAACCAAAAACAACTTGTTGTTTCATTGGATTCTGGGAAAACTGGGCCTGGCGTGAGTGTGTGCATGTTTGTGACAGTGTGTGCCCTGTGATGGACTGGTACACTGGCAGGGTGTACCCTGCCTTGCACCCGCTGCCTGCTGAGATAGGCCATAGATCCCCCACCTGACGTGGATTAAGTGGTTAGAACAATGGATAGGTGATATAAAAATTGTCCATAAAATAAACAATGGTATAACCTTTTCTACTGAAATTAGATAAGAAGACTACTGTATAAAGACTCCTGGGATTAAACTTTTAATTTTTTTCTGATGGAACTTTGAAGTTCACAAACAACATTGTCCTCCATGACAATGACCTTTATGTTCTCAACACATTGTCAAGAGCTGCAGCTGCTCCACAGGAGCAGGGAAGCTGATTCCTGCTTTAAAGTATTCATCATCTTAATATTGCAGACAGAAGCTAATTTCTACTCTTCCTCTGATGCAGAATTGTTGCCATCAGGCTGCCTCTGGCCCATCTGGTGATTTTTGTTTATTTTTTTTTCCATTTCTTCTGCAGAGCCCCAGCTGAAAGGCATTGTCAGTCGCTTGTACTGCAGACACGGCTTCTACCTCCAGTTGCAGCCTGATGGGACAATAGACGGTACCAAGGATGAAGCCAGCTCCTTCTGTGAGTCTTTGTGACTGGCATCTTTTTTTTTATCCCCCACACACACACCATCTGCCACTTTCCTGTCCAGCAGGGTGAATCCCAGACGGATAACCTTGGTTTTGCTGTCCGAGGGCACAGTTGGTGACATCTTGGAGTTCAGAGAGAAATCCCACTGGTCTGTTCAAACACAGATGCATCAGGGCCACAATGTACAGTAGCTCGGTTTCTCAACGCACAATGCTCGCACAGATTCACACAGGTCAGCCAATGATCTTCTCGTCAAAGGGTTCATTTTCTCAAGATCCACCTTTGCCCTATGTTCAAGGGTTGGAAAGTTTAAACAAGAGCAGATGTCTTCTCAGAGCTGGGAATTCCAATGCTGTGAACTCTGCACTCGCAAAGTACAGCTTACAGAGCTTGTGCATCCCTTAAATTCCACTCAGGATTCAATCAGACAATTGATTACAATCCATTCCAGCTGGGTGGCTTGAGTTATGATTATGGGGCTGTCAGGGATGTCGGAAAGGACGAACCGTGACAGAATAGTTGAAGAGCGAAAAGACCCCATGCGTAGTGGCAAGACGGGGGTTAGCCCGGGCTCAGCTGTTCAGGAAATGTCGTATAGAAACCTATGCCCTCAGGTAGCGGATGTGGGGCGACCTAGTGCTAGGCGGGTTTCAGGACATCCGAACGTCAGTGCCGAGCAAAGGCAGAATGAAAGACCCGGAAATAAATAGCCCCAGAGAGAGAGAAACACCGGAAGGGCAGCTAAGAACTGGAAATGAGAGACAGGACAGAGAAGGAGCCCCCTCTGGCTGCAGAGGGCGTGACAGGGGCTGTTTCCATCTTTACAGCTCTGCAATGCAGAAGGCTTTCTGCACACGTGGTTTTCCAAACAAGTTCCATACAAAGGCAAGATGATACACAACATTCAGATACACAACTTACATCTTTTCTGACCTACAATTCTTTGGATAAAACTTTAGCCTATAGTAGTGATGGATATCATGACAATTACAGAGGGACATTTACTTTTGGATATATTATTTTATTAAATCGTATTTTTCATTTTCTTTTCATCAGCGAATGATTGTGTATTTAACATATTTGGCCTCTCCAATTATTATCAAATTGTTTTGTGCTTTATCTTTATAAGGTTTTAACAAGGCATCACTGCTAATATGTGAAAATCCCCTCAGATATTATGAAAATCTAAATTTTCATAGAAATTGGTCATAGAAAAGCTATTTTGTAATGCACTTAAAATTCTTTTCTTGGAAGTTATCTAGGTGAAGTGTGTAAAACTAAAGTCCTTGCAGATTGTTACAATGGAACCTTATGAAACAGTTCATAGACTTCTAAAGTGATTTTACAGTAGTTGTTGTTGATCCAAATAAAACTATGTGGAGGTAATCTTTGTTTACAAGAGATTTTTATTTTCAGTTTTTGTGGAAACTGTATAAACTCGACCACTTTCTTTAATTTTCCCAAAATGCTGTGCGCATCCCCATCCGGTTGTCATGGAAAACATTTTGACTGAAAATCTCTCAGAAATAAACCTAAACAAAACATCTTAACATTTATTCTAGTTCACTTTAGAAATTTACTTTACAATGCTGATTTGTAGAGCACTAAGAACATTAGAAATCTGAACTTAGGAACAAGCACATTAAGACATGTGACATGGTGTACTATATATAGATTCCAGAAATCATTTGATGGAGCCTTATAAAAGGTGATCAAATGAAGATGAAGGAATATGAGGTAATGCAGAGCTCAATTTGATGTTACTGTTTCATGAATTAAAATGGGTTACGATTTGACAAGTGTACATAAAGATCTGGCAATTAAAATGAATTTGATTTACAGTCTTCTCAGAAATTGAATTGCAAATAGCTTAGCTTGACTACAAATCTATAAGAACATTTTATGTTGAGCACAGGCTCTTTAGACCATCAGAGCATTTTTTCTTTCATGAAAACTCATTCTGACCCAGTATCTCTCTGGACAGATCCCAGAATGTATTAGAAGCCCCAGAACATGGTCAGCTTATTTATAGGATGCTTTTGTATTTTTTTTCCAAAACCAAGTAGTACCAGTAACTATTATACATTTTTTATTTTTACACAAAATACTGCTATTTACACTTTTCAGTTTAGAAAACTGATATCACTGTACTTGACAGTTTTCACTTGAATTTTCAGAAGCCATTATTTGTCTCCATTTCTCCTTTTGCTCAGGTGATTTCTTTGAGCTTAGGGATCTCTTGCTTCTCCTTGTAACCTTGTACCCAGGACACTATGGTCCTGTTAGTGGCAAAGAGCCTTTTAGCCTATGTCTGCCTGGAATATCCTTCCCATTTTGTTATACCTCTGCAGCAGAACATAGCAGGAGCCTGGTTCAGGTCTTAAATTGAAGCTAACCCCCTTGGCTATGAGTGTGAACAGTCAAATTTCTTATATTTCTTAATGTGTCCACTCAGCAGACAAACATATTAAAAAACAACCTCAAAATACAGCAGGCCGAAAAGTTGTTTTGGTCTTCAGAGTTCAGAATTTTAAATTCTATGTCTGTCAGGGTTCTGGGAATGATTTGAAAACCTTGTTCTAGGTGACTACTACTGTAGCTTGGCTAAAAATCTGGGACAAATTGATCAATTAGAAAAAATTCTACATAATGTTTTGTGAAGACTGGACCTGGAATGTAATTTCTCACATACAATAAATAAATCTTTAAAATATTGAAAGTAATATCAATAAAAAACATTGCAATTTCTATAAAAACCTTAGGACACTGCTAGAGAGTCTTTATCTGCTGTTATACATTGAAAAAAAAACATCGGAGTTGCCTTCTGGTGTGAAAAAATGAGCACTGACAAGAAACTGATAAGAAACTGATTGATTACCCCTTCTGAGTCATGATTGACAGCTAGAAAGCAAGTGGCATGGAGCCTGAGGCTTCTAGCGGAAGTCTAACGACCTAAGGCCTCTGAATGGCTGAAAATACAATGAATGACAGCGTTTTTTTTACCAATCAGTTCGCCTTTTCTGGCTGTCCTGCTTCAAACATTTACTACAAAGTCAATAACGTTCAGTAACCTCCAGGTCTTAAGGTATTGTAAGTTAGTCTAGGCTTCTGTGGATATATATCGTGCTTTAGAATAAGGTAAAAACATGGGATATATATATATTTTCTGGCTTATTGATTACCTTATCGATGCATATTAGAAGTTTGGAAGTGCATCATCAGATAAAAAGTTACTTTGTGATTGATTGTCTTGGTTTTTAAAAAAAAACACGTTTTTTTAAAGCTCCGGTTGTCCGTTTTCGATTGATAACATGGTTTTGTGGTTTTGTTGGTAAAAAAACGATTAAAAATTATGCAGGAATCAAAGGTAGATATTGATTTACACTGTGGACGCTTACGACCACACCAAGGATAGCACACATATGATTATATTAACGTTTTTTATATTGGTTCAAAAAACAGTTCTGTGAACCCTAGTAGAACCCTTTTCGATTGATAAAAGGTTTTCTGTAAAGGTTTTGTGGTTTTGGTGATGTAAAACGATGAAGTGAGACGGGACTTTTGAAGCAAGTCAGAACGTGGCGGTTCCGTCCATGTCCAGCATTAATACTCAACCTGCATTTAGCAGACTAAAACGCCTGGTAAATGAGGGACACCATATTGAAAGCAAGGGCTTCCAAAAAGGTTTGGCACAGGTGTTAATTAAGCAAACAACATCCCAGCATGCTTATGGTCATGTATAAAAATGGTGGAAAGGTGGAGGCATGCCTATAATTATGACTAGCATGGCTGCAAGAGGAGATCACAGTGACTCTGAA